ATTTTGATTGGTTGATTTTAGTTATTGGCCCTCTGACTGCCCGAGTCGTGTGATAAACAATTATAATGAATCTTATGTTGCATTTAAAGTAAACTGGTTTCATAAAAGTAAAGTCATTTAAAATCATAACTGTAGAAACTAACTTTTATTTGTCAATATCAGCATTAAGTTGTACCTTGAAGCTATTTCATATCTATATTTATCACAAAATTAAATTTCAAATATCATTTGCTGTTAGGAATTTCTTTAATTTTATCCATTGTTTTAATGGATTCGTCTTTTCAATAATTGATTGAGGGGGAAAAGGTTGCTTTTAGCTGAAATTAGTAACAATACTAACAAGGATTTTTTTTTTTCTGAGAATTTATATCATCTTAGACATGAACCTTTTTGTAGTAGCTGGTGTTTGTTAGCAGGTTTTTTTTTTTTTTGCCTTCAATATTTATGAGAAGGATACCAGTTTGGGATCTTTTCCAAATTCCTAGTTTGCGATAGTCGCAGGTAATACCTGCCAATATATTGTTTTTGAAATTGAAGAAACAATGGAGCAAGGGATCATGGGAATTGTTATTTTGTATGTCTAACAAAGCACATGGAATAAAGAAACTGCCCTAAACACATCTAGTGAACCCTGATTTTTTTGGTCTTTTTGGGCTGGCATCTGAATTGCAAAGGAGCTGCATTTATGTTTGTTTGGATAGTGGATTATTGTTTCAGATTTTTTATTTTAGATGTGACTTGAAGAACACTTGCTCATCTCTACTTTGTTATAGCTTTGTTATAGCTTTGTTATAGCTGTTATAGCTGGTTGTTATAGCTTTTGTCACCATGTGGAATTTTACTATCCGAAGAATTGCCTCTTTGTTGATTTTTTTCTGCGCTTCATTTCTTATTTTTTTGGCCGTGTCACAGTTCCCTGTACTTGATGAGATTCTAATTTTTAAAAGAAGCTCATCTGCCAGTGAAACTTCCCATTTGGAAGAGCCAGTCATTTTAGCATATGCTGGTTATGCAACAGAGAATGAGGACAATTTGATGATGAAATTGTCAAATCCTTCAGCTCCTGAATTATTCCCAACTCCAAGACGACCAAGGAAGGGAGTGTCCGACGACACTTTTGGTACTTGTTTGAAACCTATCAATTGAATGTAATTTTTTAAAGAGTCAGTCAACCAAAATGTGATATGAACTGAAAATCTAGGCTTACAAAACTCAAGGTGCATGTAATTTGCAACAATCAAATTGAAGGGGTCACAGGCAGGTCATGCTTTTCTATCAATCTACTACTCCAGGCTTGAAATATCTCCAGTGTTTTAGTTTTCTACTCCTTTTTTTATTTTACCACCTTTGTTTTGTATATATTGCAATCAATATAAATCTCAGTTCAATGTTAATAGTTTTTGAATATACAGGCTCAATCTATAGCAGCCTAAACTGTGAATTTTATTTCTTATAAGAATTTTCCAAGGCTGATGGTAAAATACCAATCTATCAAAAATAAGGTTTTAGGAAAAGACAGTGAGTACTTTTTTGAGTCACATGTAAAGAATAATTTGAAATTTACAGAATGTAAAAACTTTGAACCTCAGAAAACTTTAAACACGGATGTGTTTCTGTACTCTTATCGTGTAGGTTAAAAACCAGCCAATTAAGCTTGAGATGTCTAGACTGTTATCTGCATATTGATTAATGAGTTTGTGTTTTTTTGTAAGTTTTTTTGTGTGTCCTTACCTCAAACTTATGATTTGTCATGATGCAGTAAGTATCCCAAAAATATAGCTTTCTTTTTTGTTTTTTTTTCATGTTGTTTTTTAAGTTATATAGTAAATGCATGTTCATTTATTTCCAGTCACCCCTGGAATTACCAAGAAGGAATTCAGAGACAGGAGACACAAACTTCTAAGGTTATTGTCTTCCATTTATTGTTTATCAGTTATTATCTCTTATTATTATATGGCTGTGTCTCACAAGGACTGGGAACTACCGAATTCACAGATTTGATTGGCTGAAATCAATATTGAAAGTGGTCTAGATTTTCCCATCTAGACCGGCATCTAGACCGGTCTAGAAAAAAAAGGCACAAAGAATGAATATAAAAAATTGGCATATAAGACACAGCCATATAATAAACATCTTATTAACCAAGCTAGGTCGGTCTGTATGGGAGAATCTTGACCTCAGTCGCTGGTACAGACCTCACTGCGTTCAGTCTGTACTGGCGACCTCGGTCAAGATTCTCCTATACAGATCTCCCACTCAGTTAATAAGAACTAAGTTGTAACCAATCAAACATCTCTCAAATTATAAGTTTCATACAGCTAGACCTCATTTTTCACTTCTCTAGGGAAACAAAACAGGCTTGCTTGTTTTGAGATATTTATTTTATCTTCATTTTTACACCAGTTTGTTGATGTCATTTGTTTAGAAATAAAAAGAATGTTTTTATTTCCTTTCTCCTGCTCTGCATTGTGGATTAAACAGAATTGTTAAATGTCATATCATGTCCTTTGAATAATGTTAATTTAATGAAAGCATTGTGTATGACTGTGTGACTAAACTGAATTTGACTTTTGCTTAGTGAACTGCAGTTGGTCTGTTTTATGCCAGTTAAAGGCCTGGGTAGTTGATCTCAAAGTATAATTTATTGGCAAAAAATTTTTAATCATTTTCTTTTTCTCTTTTATCTCAAGTTTACTCTCCAAGACACATTTTGGTGAAACTCACGATAAGCATTTGGTGATTATTCCAAGCAATCCAACAAAATACATGACTACAGATGTGCCGTAAGTTCACCTTCTAACTTTTTTTGAAAGTTTTACTACAATATTATTTTACAACACTTGATAGGTGTAAAACAAGTATAATAAAATTGTAGTCTAAATATAATCTAAGCTCAAAATTATTTTCAGTTGCTACTCTCTTGCTTAATTGGTTCAGCCTGTCTTCCTCTGTTGACATTGAAGTCAATATTAAATGACAAAATGAACTTGAATCCTGTAAACAAGACCAGAAACAAAGAAAACACTTTACACTCTTGTAAAAGAGTTTACTCTGTAGCTTGTAAATTATTTCACCTTAATTTACAATGCACTTTGGTCTCAAAATTTTACCTGTTACTACTCTACTGCTTTTTTTTTAGATATCCATTCAGACAGAACACAGACTTTCTGTACTTAACTGGTTTTCAAGAACCAGATGCTGTTTTAGTATTACGTAAGTTGATGTCCAAACTTTAGATGGGAGGAAAATGCTACTTAGGGTTATGGCAGCTGTGATCAAAGTTTGATGAAGGTTAAATGGTTTTTCATTTTACAGAAACCTTAGAAGGCCAGTCATTGCCAGCACATAAGAGTACCTTGTTCATTCAACCACCTGACCCCAAAAGGTAAATTACTTATTACAATACTTTTTATTGAAGAGCTCTATTTTATTGCTCAGGTTGAATTGAATATAACAGGTTCATACAAACTGTCAACTTTGCCAGTTTCAAGCATGTTAAAGACCAAAAAGAACACTTATTTTTATACATGTCACTTATCAACAGCAATCAGGTTGAAAATTTAATTAAGAGCACCATGTCAAGAGAACTTGAGAAAAGTTTGTAGGTTACAAGCTGGAGGCAACTGATTTACAAACTTTTTTATTGTTCTCCCAATATCCTAAGTGAGTGTTTCCAGAAGTTATTTCAATTGGTAAACAAAGTGTTTTCACATCTCAGCCCTGAAGGCCTGATGTGGTCTATTGTATTTACGATATTTAGACAGGCCAGCCAGTTCAGCTTGAAGCTGGTTTAATTGGGGGCCTGTACATCCCACCATCCCACCCCAGGGGAGGACATCCATCACACAGTAATCTCGTGTGTAGGAAATTAACGTCTCCTACCCCCAACCCTGCAGGAGACGGGACCTCCATTTATTTGTCCCTATCCGAGAAGACTAGAATATCTAACCACTTCTTGATGTTATAGAAAGGCAGCATATTCTTCTCAATTATTTTAAGACCTTGAGTGTTGGTCCGGCCGGGGCTCAAACCCTCAACCTCCCGCACAATCCATTGGGCTAACTGGGCGACATTCTAATAACACGGGGAGGAGGGTATACACTGCTTACTGTTTTCCTCTGGTTAAGTGCTATGGTAACACCTCTATTGATGCTGTTTGTTTTCTTTAGGGAGTTGTGGGAAGGTAAACGGCCTGGAACAAAGGATGCTATTCTATTCTTTGGATTTGATGAGGCAAGTTTGAAAGCTGCTTTACATTCAATTGATTTTACAGGAATTGTGACTTTTGTTATTATAATAGTGATTCTTGCTATTGTTTAATTCTTATGGTCAATTTCCCCTCTTTTTTTCCAGTCATACTCTATCAGAAATTTAGCTCCTGTTCTTATTGACAGGTATGTGTTCAAAGCTGATTTACAGTATCCATATGTAGTGATGAAAATTAAATATGCATGCTCAGATCCCATGCAAGAAAAACATTGCATGGAGCAGACTTACAAAGTTCATAGTTGTTGTCAGTGTTGTTGATAGAGTCGCAAAAAGTAGCAGAAGACAGTCAAACCAAAGAATTGTAAATGACTCTCATGGGTTTTTTTGTGGTACAATCACTGTCGACCTTCAAAATATTAACAAGTCATTCTTTATTCTTAATAAAGAAAAATTTTTTTGCTTTATGTTAAATCCTATATTAACCAAGCTTGTTCGGTTAGGTGGCTGTATATAAGCATTGTTTTTTTTGTGTGTTTATATGGACCTTGACTTTATCTCTGTCCATGAAAACGCAAAAAAAAATCAGCCAATACTCAGCCACCTAGACATTACGTTTGGTCAATAACGCTTACTTCATGTCAAGTTCAAAGTCTGCCTAGTTTTCAAGCCCCTCATCTGTGTAGTGTTCTCAAACTTTTGCAAACTCAGAGAGAAGTGTCTTTGCAAATTTTTCAAAAATGTATATAAATTTTTAAACCTCCTGTGTTATCTGCCTTAGCCTTTGGCTTTGGGTGATAACTCAGACCTCAGCATTGATAATTCATGACATCATGCTCAGCATCATCCACTAATTGCTTCTTATTACTGTCGGCTGTTTAGCTTGTGACCAGGCTCTTGTGTTTGGGTTTCCCCTTTTCTCCCCTTTGCTGGGCACAGCTGCCTATTATGCCATCAGCAGCTGCTTAGAAAAAAGTTTGAAACTTATGTTCAGTGTCATATCTGCATATGAGACATCCACTTATATATATATATAATTATATGCTATTGTAATACAATCCACAAGAAAGTGGCCTGGAGCATAACATCTTATTCAATCAAGACTTTAAAAACTTATACCAGGTATGCTGGAAGGGACTTCTGTGTGTGGTATGATTCCTTACGTCCTACCCACCCTGTGATCCATGATGAAATTTCCAAGATTCTATTCCGCACAGAGAAGTTCAGTTATAAAAGTAAGCACAAACGTTACTATTAGTCCCACTTCAGTTCCTTTGTTGTCCCCTTCTCCCTCTAAAATATCAACAAGTGTATGCAGAAGGGTAAATACTATAATTTCTTGTATACCTCATGTTTTAGTATGCTGCTAAAACTGACACATTCTTTGGTAACCCTGCACAAGAATATTGTCAGTAAATTATGCATGCAATGCAGTTTAAAAACATCCTAATTTTTCATATTTGGCACCAGCTGCAACTTCAGTCAAGATGGATAAAAAAAAAAAAACAACTTAAAATTCATTTAAAGAATTTAAATTTTTCTTGCTTCATTTACTTTCCTTTCCATACTTCTCAACCACTCTTGTCCTTGGAAAGATATTAGTACATAAAAACAGAGGGGCATGATAAAAATGTTCCATTTTAACATGAGGACAAGCCAAGTGCATATCACAGGCAGTTAAGGGTATTTTATTGCACAAAGTCCAAACAGAAGTCACAGGCAATTTTAAAGTTAAGACATTGCAAGCATGCTGTTGTGTGTATATGTGTTTATGCAAACATCCCTAATAGAGAGCAAAATGTTTTACTTAATATTTTGTCATTTATCTATTTATATATTTATTTATTATTTTTACTCCCTGAGGCATTGAAATCAGAGAAACTAACCCCCCAAAATAATAATTATTGTTTTAGACTTGTTAGCTCTGGGTCACAATGTTCACATGCTGAGACTGATTAAATCTGAAGCAGAAATTAAACTTCTAAGGCAATCAGCCTCACTGACAGCTCAGGCCATTACAAAGGTAACACAATTACCGTCTGTCAGCTCAAGGGTTTCACTTAAAATTTGACCAAAGTATCGAGGTCTATGGACCAGTTAAGCAAGTGGTTTAACAATCAATGTGGAATCAGTCATTTCACACCATGAGAAACGTCACGGTTGACAACATGGCATTCACACGCGGAAAACCTGCCCCTGGACCCCAGACCCCTCTGCGGCCCATACACTCCCAGCATGGGGGGAAGGTACAGTGTATCAAAGTTACCTGCTATTTCTTACTTTTTACCTCCCATGAAAAAAACTTGGCAAGAACCCTGCAAGCATTCCTCTTTTAGTTTCATTTGGTTGATATAAGTACGACCTTCTCCTCTTCCATTTCATAATCCCAAGAAAGTTGAGTTGGTAATTTGGTGCGTCAACTCTTGTTACTGCTGTGGTTTTCATGAATCAATTTTTCCAAGGTAATGAAAAGTACCCGTCCAGGACTGGAGGAATCTCATCTTCATACCATCCTTCAATATGAATGTCGTATGAGTGGGGCTGAGCGGCTGGCATACCCCCCTGTGGTGGCCAGTGGTCCAATGGCCAACACCCTTCACTACATTAATAACACACAGGTTTTAAGGTGAGATATGACGTCAAATGCTACAGTTAAGACATCATGCAAATAAATTAAGGGAGTAACTTTCTAAAGAAACTGTGGTACTACGTCGGTGGGGATAACAAGGTAATTTGGTTTTATCAGCTGAGTCGAGAATGTAAATTGGCCACCGTGAAGGGTTTAAAAGCTGACGTTTCGAGCGCTAGCCCTTCGTCAGAGCGAATCATCGAAGGGCTAACGGTCGAAACATCAGGTTTTAAACCCTTTACGGTGTCCAATTTACATTATCAATGCAGTTGATAAAACCAAATCATTATGCAAATAGTTTCGAGCCCAGGAAAAAATCTATATGAATCTGCACAGATGCAAGAAATACTACCAGGGTAAGACTCGGGAATATTGCAACTGGCATCAACGGCGCTAAAAAGTACATCCGCAGAGCTTAATGGTACAAGTGGGGAAAACTTGTGTTGAGTCAAGCGCGGGAAACTTGTGAACAGCGCCAAGGCGGAATGGTATTTAGCCAGGGTCAAAAGTGATCGCAGCCAGTCGTTTTAAGGCATGTGTGGTCACAACAGAATCTGATGTACCTTTGATTTTACCGTAGAGACGGAGAGCTGGTCCTTATGGATGCGGGAAGTGAATACCATGGTTACGCCAGCGATATCACCAGGACTTGGCCGGTCAGCGGTAAATTTAGTAAGCCGCAGAAAGAACTCTATGAAATGGTACTTAGAGTGCACAAGAAATGCTTACAAGTGAGTGGAAGTTTTTTCTGTCCTTATACAGCTGATATAATGCAAACTTAACGTGAGTAACTTTGTAAAATTAAGGTACTTGTTTTGACATTCTTGTTCTCAGCTTTGTCAAAAGACGGTTTCTCTTGACTATCTTCATCATGCCATGTTGCTACTCCTCGGAGAAGAACTCATTGGTAAGTTAGCGTCGTTTTTATGTGTATTTTTTTAAGTTTCCAAAGTGAATACAAAGGAAGCCATTGCAAATGCCAAGAGCAATTTAAAAGTAAAGAGGAGGAAATGAAACCGGTGTCAAAAGTAGCAAAATTTGCGTGACTGAATCTGTCATATTGTTTAGGACTTAACTTGTGATTTAAAACTGCTTCAAGAAAATTATCTCTGTGAGCGCTACCTACCTGCCCGATGATAGTATTCACTACTTTCACGCCGTCACCAGACGTGTTCGCAAGAAACTTTCCTAACTGTAACTGAAAACTTTTACCAACTGGGTAGGTAAAGTTGGAATTGTTTCCTTGAGCCAGGATATCTGAGTATAGCAAACTATTTGGATTTTCGTTGAACTCTGTCGAGGGGAAAACTCTTTTGCGAGTGTACAAGGTTAACAATATTTATTGAAAAAGACTTGTTCTGAACTCAGCAATCTGTAATTCTTACATACTGGTAAGTGAAGCCAATTTACTTCAGTACTGAATTATGTTCCCTATGTCGACAGGTCTCAATTTTATTTCGAAGAACCTGACCGAAAGTCAGCTTAAAAAGGTATTGACGCAAGCTTACAGTTCATAGTGAACCTCTCCTAACGCCAACTCACTCCTGACAGTTACAAGAAGAACTTTGGTTTTAGTAACTGTTAATCTTTGACTCCTAAGAATCACGCATTAAGGTCACGAGAATACAGGAAACCAGTGATCTCCAACTTAAAGAGGCTCTTGATTGTTAAACAAATTCTCCTTGTCAGCACCTTAGGAAATGTATAGAGAACAGTATGGAGAATATGCATTCGGTTGTTAGAGTGTAAAGGGTTAAGGCACGATAAGGTTTAGTTCGCCAACGAGTTCTGTGCAGCTCAGTGGTGGAGTGTCGGACTTCAAAATTCGATTTCTCGTTTGTCCTTCGTTCGGGAATAAAGGAATAGCAATTCGTATGACTCATCTGTCCACAGCATTGGACAGAGAAAATGAGAGAGTCGTTCGGAAGGATTCAAACCACTGACCTTCTGATTTCGTAGTGCGATCCTCTTTCATTGAGCAACAGAGAACTTCTCGTAGGGCTAGAGATGTCCTTGGGATTCCACTTGACGAGACCTACCTAAAGATGACTACCAAGGCGACTAAAACTTCGTCCATTTGTATCAGTATAGTAAACATCACCAACCATTTCCTGTATTCTGTTGGTTCCAGGCTGCCGCTGAATTTTGCCCTCATCACGTGGGCCACTATCTGGGTATGGACACCCACGACACGCACATGGTTAGCAGAGGCCTGGGACTACATCCCGGTATGGTGATAACAATTGAGCCTGGGATTTACATCTCTGCGGATAACACCAAAGTACCAGAAAGGTTTGGAATGTTTTCACCAATTGCTATCGTAGTTACTTTTCAATAATTTTGATTGGTCGAGATCGAACACAAAAAGGTTCGCTGATTTTTCTTTCAGCTAGCCTCTCAAGGGAGGATTACCGATAATAATAATAATAATAATAATAATGATAATAATTTATTTACTTATATAGCGCCCTTTAACATTATAGGATGATCAAAGGCGCTTTACAATCCAGGAGAATTAACATTGACAGTAAATAATTGCAGTAAAGATACTTTTTACAATAAATAATTACAATAAATGAATGAATGAATGAATGAATAAAAAGTAAATAAATAGAAAATACCGATAAGGTTGTAGTGCAAATCTAAAACGCTAGCTTAAAAAGATATTTGCACTACAATCTTATCGGTATTTTGTATTTATTTATTTACTTTTTATTCATTCATTCATTCAGGCAAGGCAAGCTGTTCCACAGCGCAGGCGCAGAGGCATGAAATGAGCGGGCACCTAAAGTTGTGCGCTTAACCCCTTTTGGACGTTCTAAAAATATAGTGTTATTATTGCGTAACGAATATCTCAGTAGACGATGATCTAATACAGATTAGGTTACTTAAATAACAAGGAGCCATGCCATGAATCGCCTTTAAAATGGTCATCAAGATCTTGAATTGAATACGATAATTTACTAGCAGCCAGTGAAGGTTGAATAGTACCGATACACTTAACATGGATCTAGGAGTAGCTCTTGTTTTGTTTAAGTAAAAGCTGATTTTGGACCAAATTCCTCGCAATATTTTGTCTTGATCTGAATTCCTGATGCTAGGTTTTTTTTTTTCATTCTCAGGTACCGAGGGATAGGAATAAGAATTGAGGACGATGTACTGATTACTGAGAGGGGACCTGAAGTTCTTACGGCGGAATGCCCAAAGGAGATTGAAGACATCGAAAGACTCATGAACAACACAGAAATTGCGAGACTATAAACACATTGAAAATTAGCTTCGTTTATCTATGACAAATTACGCTACCCGCAAGTTTTTGTTACTGGTGAAACCTCTTTTTGAAGATCGCACCAAAGTGTTTGCGATTTAAGAGTTGTTGTTTGCTTCGTTTGCTGGTTGGATTCTTCGCGAATGTCAGACATTTTTTATCTTCATAGTTTTATGCCACTTGGCATGTTTACCATCCTTTGTGCACATATTTCTGCTAGTTGGCCGCGAGGATTGAAGTGACAAAATCGCGACGATGTGTGCGAAGATATTTGAAAAGTTGGAAGGTCTGCAATTTTTGCTCTCTTTGTACTGAGGGTGGTGATGAGGGAAAATTAAGAAATGTATTTCACCATATCACTGAGACTAGGTTTACACTAGAGGAAAT